TCGGAAAATATCCATGATACTTCTCCTTGTTTATTATGGTTGATCCTTTGAATGGGTTTTTAATACTAAAACCACGTCTTAACAAATAGCGGTACAGGGGAGTCATTTTGTTTGGAGTTTTGTGCTGTTTGCTGACTTTAGCTGGCCGTCGTTACGAAGTGCGATCGTGGTTCGTCAGTCGCCCTCGCCTTCAGAATTGTCAAAAACAGCGATAGTTATCCAGACAAAGCAAGAGATTAGTTCTGTAAGATAATTTTCCAGCGAGTCTGAAGACTGGTTGGATTTTTAAGTGTTATTAGCATGAAGCGATACACGTAATTATTGAGTTGTGAAAATATTCACACTCACTTTGCGCCGACGTGAGGTGCCTTTTCATTTTGGAAATCATTCGCTTGGATGAGAATTTTAGCTTTCTAGACTGATTTTTCGTCATTCCACCTTTCTGATTTTCTGTGCCTTTAAGAACGGGTGTCCGTAATTAAAATATGAAAACATTTGTTTATTTCATATACTTGCAGTTTTATCAACAAGTTATCTCTCATGAACAGAATAACGCCTGTTTAGCTCATATAATGGTGATGTTTACATAGGGAGTGGAAATCGAAGAAATTGTGATTTGTTTGTATTTGAGACCGTCCAACATGATTGGTTCATTTACAATTTATCTAGAATTAAGTCTTTATTGATATTAATGGATTGTAGATCTCTATTTCATGTCTCTAGTACGTTTGCTTGTACCTGTTGCTACAACTGCTACTTTAATTTCCCAAACAGCTCTATTAGCTTTACACGAAAGCATTTTCGATGAAACCCACTTTTTTATTTTTATTATTATTATTATTATTATTATTATTATTATTACTATTATTATTATTATTATGTTTTTATAACTCAGTCATTTGAAACTTTTACAGGCACATGTATGCTTACCCGAAGTATATTCCACTATCTTGGTTGTGCATTGCATTAACTTATGCAAATAATCAACTACTCGCCTTCTTCCATTCATTTTTTTTAGATTAGCTTTGCATAGCTTTACATAGTTTCCATGTGCTTAAGGAATCATACACATCACATGCTTTGAAGCACTGTAAGGATAATTATGATCCCCATCAGTAATATTACATCGTATCCCCACAGAACATCATTGAAAAACATTCCTATTGACTTGTAACCATTTTTTTTCAAGGTGGCAAAATATTTGTATATTGCTGAAACTAGTTGAGAATTTCTTATTGACTACAACTAGCGTAGCCATACCAGTGCTCCCCTTCCCTGTAATGAGTTGGGAAAAGGACATCTGCATGGTGCTATAATTGTTCATGTTTGGGAATATCCCATCCCTGATTTTTATTTGACTGGATAGGCACAGCAGTACACAACAAGCTTTTGGTTATTCCTCATGACTTACTGTTAACTGGGAATTGACGGCTGACTTAATCTAATCAATTTTCTCCTGAACATTTTTTAACAAACAAGTTTGACTTCAGAAATACCTCTGATAATTTCCCTCTGACATTTCTAATTTGGAAGATTAATCATCATAATCATTATGTTCTTTACACCTCCATAAACACCCAACAGGAGTTCTTCGTTTATAACTCAGGCAGCTTCTGAATATAAGAAATCAAGTTTAGAAGACGGTTGATTCATTCAAGGTTGTTGCAATAAGAGAAAAGACAATACAGTGCTTTCTTCACATCGATTAAATTATATAATAATTATTTTACTTTACAGTAGTTTTGTTTTTTAAAAATTTGTTTTCTAGTAGTACCAAGATGGTAATGTTACTTTATGAATCAGGGAGCTAAATAAATCAGAAGTATTCTGTTAGCTCAATACATTTTACTTTGCAGATGGCATTAAGTTAGTAAAGAAAGAAAAGAAAAAGCAAAAATAAATAAATAAAATAAAATGATTAGTGTGGGAAAAGCAGCTTAAAAAAAAGACATACCACAAATTATTCAAAATTGTGATAAGAAATACTTGTTGGGAAAGTAAAATTATTGCTCAGAAATAAAATTAGAGCTTCTCAGAAAAAAAAAATTACAAACTAAGGGGGAAAGTGAAAACTTATTTATTATCATTATAATGAACATTTTGTACTTAAAACATACCTTGGTTTATTCTTCCTCTAGTTGAGCCAGTCTTTGTACTTTTGGGGGCTTCAGTCCTATGCATGTTACAGTCGTAGGGTTTTTGGCCAACTATGATTCACGCAATAACTAGTGGGGATAGGGTGACCGTGCTACACGGGCAGGTTTTGTCTTCTTCTCGGCGGATCTGACCGAAATGCAGTTGACATGCCGATTTATACGGTTCAAGCCACTGCTTTACAAACCTGAAAGTGCAGCGTCCTCGGATCACCGCTTCAACCATTCAAAAACCGTCTCATTTTTAGCCTTAGTGCATAAGCTCTTTTATACAAAACTTGGTTGCCACGGAGGCGCCAGCGAAAAACAACAATTTCATATAGTGTGCAACTTCAGTTCGGCTTTGGAAAATTATATTGAGCATAAGAACTATCCAAAAGGTGATCCGAGTTTCAAAGCTAAGTTTACTGTATTCTTTCTAAGTTTTGCCTTTTTACGCTGTCGATTTGACTCACGGCGAAAACATTGTAAAAGTTATTGGCATTGAAATCAGCATTTTATGGTTTCGTTGAGGTGTCCGCTGACCAGTAAAATACTGTATCGTGCCCTAAAAAACGTATTTCCGAGGTGTCGGACCCGACCATATTTGGGGAGGATAGATCTCTGCTTACTTGGCTACCTTCTTGGGAAAGAATACTAAATAACTAACTAGTTGAGTTAATTTTTCAAAGCCACTGTTTCCAAAATGCAAGTACCGTATTTGACTGGTGTAGGTATACCGACTCGCACTCGAGTCTGCTGTATCAGCTGGTGCAATGATTACTCGAAGCGTTTCTTGAGTTCTGAGATACGCAGAAATGGTTTCATTTCCAGGCGTGAGTTTTTTTTGGGACCACTGCCGGGAAAAGATGAGTGGGAATAATGTGAACGTGTGCTACCTGCGTCGTAGTCTTACTACCGGCACGAGTAACTTAACAAGGCACAGTAGCCTCTGGGGAAGAAACAGTACAGATGTAAAGCTGTTGAACGTTGGCTAGTACAAACATTTCAGTGAAAGTCGTGGTTTTCCAGGTTTGACAATTATAAAACTTCTTTTAAGTA